CACATTATTGATAACGGGTGTTTTTAATGTTACTACTATCTTACAGCTCGACCATCCTGACGAGTCACTCGTCTCGCGTGACTTAATATAATCTTTTGGATGTATTAATTGACTTATTTTTTAAGTGTTTGTACATTTCAGTCTTTGTTATCCTTATACTAGTTTGTTATAGTGGTTTTATCCATGGTTTCAGTTTGTCTGGCGAGAGAATTGAATTATAAGGCCTGGAGGATATGTTAAAGCCTGGTATGTCTTGTACAACGTACCTATTTTTATCCAATACTTTTGTAATCATGTACGGCCCTTTATAATTAGGCTTCAATTTCGCGTTTTGACCAGGTTTTACTTGAAGATCTCTGATCATTACATATTCATTGACTTTATATTTGCTTGGTTTCGCGTGCTTGCTGTCGTAATATCTTTTGTTATATTCGCGTAATAGATTAGTTGCTTCCTCAGCTTTTTTATAATCCGATTCTCTCTCTGCATTATTATCTATGTTTGCTATTTGTTTAATTAACTCTGTAAGCTTTCTATCAGTGTTATTCCGGTTATCGTATCCTAGGTGTAATTTACTTGGAGAATTTTTGATCGCTGAGTGTCTAGTGTTGTTTATAACGTATTGTGCTCGAGCTAATTGCGTGCTCCAATCGCTTGGTGTTTCAACTAATTTTTTGAGCGAGGATTTGAGGAATCTATTCACTCTTTCTACGAGACCATTAGCCCATGGGGCCGCAACAGCCACTTGACGGTGTTTAATTTGTAGTGTTCTCAGGAAGTGAGCGAATTCATTTGACGCGAAAGCAGTTCCTCTATCGGATACAATTTCTCGAGGATTACCAAAAACATTGAATAAAGGTCTCAAGTGATTGATCACTTCTTTCGATCCTGTCGATTTCGTGGGAAAAAGCCATGTGAATCTCGTGAATGAGTCTACCAAAACTAAAATATGTTTTAGACCATCTTCTGTCTGTTGCAGTGGGCCGAAATGATCTATATGTAATATCTCGAACGGATTTGTGGATTGTGTATTAATTTGCATTTCTCCTTCTCGCGTGTGTTGAGAAGAATTAGCGGTAAGACATATAATACAATTGTCTATGTGGTCGTAGATTCTTTTTCTCATCGACGGAAACCAATAAGAAGCGAGTACTCCTTGGTACGTTTTTTCGAAGCCACAGTGGGCCATTTCGTCATGGTAAATTCTTATTATGTTACTTATCATAGAGTCTGGTACGACAAAACGTGGACGGTCGGACGCCTTTCTGTAAATTAGTCCCTCGATTAATTCGAATTTATTGTTATCTGCATATTCTAATTGTTGTGCCATGTTTTTCAACTGTACATCTTGCAGTTGTTTATATTCTAACTCTCTTTCGAGTGGTAAAGAATCCACGTATGTTTGGAGACTACTAAGAGCGTTGACGTGTGTCATACGGTGTCCA